CTGAGCATCACTTGCATGCCTTCATGCGGAAGCTCCATCCTCAGAAATGGCTGGAGGCAGAGTGCCGGCAAGCTGCGCACTGGCCACTAGGGGGTGCCATCGTCCGTGTTTAAATCCGCCGGGAGGCCGTGTTCAGGGGTCTGCTCTCATCCTGCACTCCTGGGTCCAGCCTGTCTTTCTGCACTCTGCCTCCCCAGGGCCCAGGATGTGGAAAACAGCTGGGGTACCCTCCTCGCCTGTGGCCTCCACCCTGGTTAGAAGTGGGGCTGCTCGGAGGGGGGTGTTGTGATCCCTCGGAACCCCCTTCAGCCTGGCTCCATGGGTGGCCCAGGGCTGACTTGCCCAACAGCCTGCAGGGTATGGCCAGTGGGCTGCGAGCTGGGCCTTCCACCACTGGCCAGAGGAAGGAAGTGTTCTCAGGACATGTGACTTGGTCCTTGTCTCTTCCAGGCAGTTATCTGCCATGTCCTAAGGGTGGGCAGCAACAGCATTGTCCCCAGCTATGACCCTGGGCCGCAGGCACGAGCAGCCAGCACAACTAGAGGAGAGGCTTGTCCCAACCTATCCCCACAGCTCACCAGCGCCACCCAGCCCCGCCTCCCCTGGAGGTCCGCTCAGGCTTGCTGGCCCGGCTGACTCTGTTTTGTCCAGAGAAGGGCTGCTGGCTCCACCCCGGGGAGCCCTGAAGACCCTTTGATGGGCTTCCAGGTGGCCCTCTTGTCCCCCTCAACACAGTGGACAGGCCTGCCCTTGAAGATGTAGGTACTGGGGTCCTTGAGGGGGCACGACCCAGGCAAAGTCCCTCCCCAACCTGATACTCCTTAGTTCCAAACACACACAGCTTAGGTCAGTTCCCTGTGGCGTCCACAGACATGCTGTGGCTCAGACAGGAGTGTAAACTACCATCTCACCTCCTCCACCCAGGCCCCTGGCCATGAGCTGTTCCTCCAGCCTCACCCCTGTAGTTTTGGGGTGCCACTGCTGCCCCAGACCTCAGCAGCCCCAGTCAGGCTGAGGTCAGCAGAGGGGCTGGGATAAGAGTGCCCCCTCTGCCCGCTGAGGACCTAGTGGGCTCTGGGGTAATGGAGTAGAGTACCACCCCGATGCTCTGCCTGCAGCTGCCAGGCCCAGCATGGCTGGTGTCCTCAGGGGGACACTTGGTCCCCACCAGCCTAGGCTATCCTGAGCAATGACGTGGTGGTGCTGACATGGTTAGACCTCAGGCTCAGAAGGCCCCGCTCAGCCGTCTGTATAGACTGGCAGTCTTCAACCTCCCCTTGCAGTCAGTGCCCTTGGGCCGCAGCCCCGCTCTCCTTCACAGTCCCATATGTCCCCCGCCACCCACGCCACGGGTTCTCCATGGGTGCTACGTGGCCACACCCCACTCAGCTGACTGTGTGGCCCAGAGCTTGAAAGACGCAGTGCAGACAACCTGGGTGCCAGCAGACATCACGGGACATTGGCGGGAAGTGTGTGCACCTCCCTGTCCCAGGCTGCTGACCCTGCACCAGCCAGAGTTGCTTTGCGCTGCTTGTGGGGCCATACACACACTGTGGGGCTGGCAGTGGGCATGCAGCTTGGGGCGCTAACTCCTGTCATGCTGTCTGTACTGGGCTAGGAACCCTGGTGGTGTGGTGGCTCTGAGTTGGGCTGCGGTCCGCATGGTCAGCAGTACGAAACAACCAGCAGCTCCGTAAGAGAAAGACGGGGCTTTCTACTCCTGTCAACGGTCAGTCTCGGAAACCCACAGGGGTCGCCATGCATCAGTATTGAGTTTGTCTGTACTGGAGGGATGACCATGCCCTCAACACCAGACCTGGCTGCTCCTGGCACTGAGGGAGCGGAGGGGCTGCCACCGTAGTGGTAGTGGGCCAGGGCAATTCCTGTCCCAGGTGCCCTCGGGAGCCATTGCAGCAGCCCAATGGAGGGGAAGAAGCCGGGTCAGCCTGAGCAGCCTGCCCTTTCCCCCTCATGCCGGGGTCTGAAGGGAAGCCAGAGTTCCCTGCTGGCCTGACCCCAGCCTGCCCTGCATGGCTACGCAGAGGCCCACTCCTTCGTGTACAGCACGCTCGCCTCGCTGAGTGGCGGTGCTGAGCGGCACAGAGCCTCGCCACTTGGGCAGGAGGTTGGAGCCATGCCACAGGCCTCTCACAGAACTGCCCCGGTGTGGAGTGCAGTGTCTCCCCTACCCACCCCAAGCCTATGCAAGCCTCTGTTCTGCCCCTGGGCAGGCTGGTCCTTGCAGTGGGCCGAGGGAGTTGAGGGAGCCTGCAGAGGGGCTGGGTGGGCCAGCGGTGGCAGGAAGCCCAGGACCGTGAAGAGCCAGTGGAAGGCAAAACCCGCCATCCCAGCCAGAAATGGACTCCGACGAGCACACGGGAGGCCCCAGAGGCCAGCAGAGGGCTTGGCAATGTGTGCTCTCTCCCCAGATGTCTCAGATTATCGCACCAAGTCACCAGCCAAAGATGCTAACGTCCCCAGTGGGTGTCCCCAGTCAGCCAAGGAGGAGCACTCCTTGGTCCTCCAGCGAGCCAAAGCATGACAAAACCCTCCGTGCCCGCCAGCACTCGGCGGAGGGCGAGGGACACCACGGAGTTGGAAGGAGCTGACTTAGAAAAGTGATGGCTCACGTCCTCGGGTCCTGGAAGGACTTGAGTCTGAATTAACTTCCACAACTCTGAGGAGGACTTTGAAACAAAACCAGAAAAAGGAAAAAACCAAAAAACCAAGAGGAACTGAGAGCACAAAAATAGACCAGCCTGTGCCCAAGTGTCAGCAGGTCACTGGCCGGCCGGATGGCCGGGCGGACACTTCCTTCTCCAGAAAGCAGGGACTCCATAATGTCAGCTGATCCGAAGCCTCCAGAGTCAGAGAGACACAGGCAAGCTGGCCCAGGCAGGCCCAGCCCCAGCCTCAGCCCCAGGCTCTCATCGTCCTCCGGAGCTTCCTTGAAGTTTGGCTTTGCCTCCCCAGTGCCTCCTGCTTCCCTGGGTACCCACTGGGGGCTTCTTCGTTTTAAAATAGTTCTATTTCCGTCTTCCTTTCAGAAAGGTACAGTCTATTTGGGCTCAATGCCTGCCCTGGGGTGCTGTGGCAGCCTGCCCTCTGCTGTGGCAGCCCCTGGGGATGTGTGTCCCCACATGTCCCAGCTCTGTCCACTTAGACCATTCCTAGGTGTTCGAAATTGAAAACCGTAGCCCACTGGCTCTGCTCTGTTGACTGCAGGGATCCCGCCTGGAAACGCTCTGTTTTTCTGGGTGACATGGGGCCTCAGCCCCTGCAGGTCCGCACACAAAAGCACGCACGCGGGCACTGGCATCTGTGTGCTGGCCCAGCTGCAGTGGCACTGTCACGTTTTAAAGGTGGACAGTCCAAGCCCAGGACTGCTGAGTGCCTGAGCGTGGCTGGCTCCCCCTGTTCTGTCTCAGGGCCTACATGTGTCCTCTGTGCCCTGGGCCGCTCAAGCCTTGGACACCGCAGGGCCTTTGGAGCCTCCCAGGAGCAGGCGCCAGGGTACGTCCCTCCTTCCTGGTCCCTATCTTGCACGCAGGGCTGGGGTAGGCCAGCCCCTGATAAGACCCTGTTGTGTCCCTGTTGGCTGCCCCTGCCCTCAGGGTCCAGTAGGCGCTGCGACTCACCTGGGGTGTGGTCAGGGGCTTGCCGCCCTGCTGGTGGTGCTCTGCAATCAGATCAGTGGCGGGAGGTGGGAGGGCTGGGAACTTGGATTCCCGCACAGCATCTGGAAGTCCTGCGCTTTCTCGCTCTTTCCCTTTAAGAATCTGTTTCTGAGGGGCCCAAGGCCCCCACTCCTCTCTGTCCCACAGGATTTGGGCACCAAGGCAGGCCCGCAGGAAGCTTCCGGAACACCTGGCTGTTTGCCCAAGGTTGGACTGGGGAAGGCAGCGTGTGTGAGGCCACCAGTTCGAATTTTCCAGGGTCTGTGCCCCTGCAGGTTGACCCCCTCTCGGTGGGAAGATGTGACCAGTCCATCTGCGGAGGACAGCCCTGGCTCCTCTTCTCCCCTGGGGCTGTGGTCACCTGGGACTGGACTAAATGTTCCTCAACCTATCTGGTCACTGTCAGTTTCACGGCTCCACCAGGACCCCAGCTGGGTGGGCCTGTCCCCTCTCACCTGTGCCCACCTTGTTCACTTGTTAGACAGGGGCTGGAGGGTCCTGGAGCCCAGTCTCAACCTAGTAGTAGCTGTCCTATTGACCCTGAGGACAAGCAAGGGCTTTTCTTATCTGCCTGGATCCAAGGGGCCCCAGGCACCAGGCAGTGCCAAGTTGGGCAGGAAGGCCACAGGATGGGGCTCCCCCTCCTTCTAGGGGCCCTTATCACGGGACATACAGGGGCAGCCTTGGCGGGGCCCATCCCCCTGACTCGGCCAACCTGCCTGTCTGTCTACCACCTGCCTCTGCTGGTGCATGGCTCCCAGCAGGGCCTATCGTTCACACCCTTCATCCACGACCTGCAGGCCTGCCCTGTCTGCTGGCTCTGCCCTGAGAAAGCTCCATTCCAAACCTGCTCTCAGCTCCTGGCAGCTCCAGTTTCCCCCACCCCAGGTGTGAGGCACCATGTCAGACACTTGCTCTGGCCAAGGGGACCCAGAGCTGGTGAGGGCCAGTGGTCCCGGCCTTCTGCTCCTCAGACACCGAGGCCCGTGCAAAACGGGAAAGGCATTCTCTGTGCGGCCAGTGGGGCACCCTAAGGCCACTGTCTGGCTTCTGCCTCCCACAAGCATGACCTCCAGGGCTGGGCTGGCCTGGGTGCCAGGCAGGGTCTGGCGGGCCACTTGTCTGGAGCTGGTGCTGAGCAGAGCCTAGTTCTCCAAGTGAATCCCCAGCCGGGCAGGGTCAGCTGGCTCCGAGGAGGACAGATATCTCCAGAAAGTCAGCTCTGCCTCCTCAGCTTTCCTCTCTCAAACCCAGGCCCCGTGGAGGTCTCCGGGAGTGATCGGAGTTCTGTGAAGCTTGGACACCTGTCGAGAGACTCCAGGGTACACAGGCCCCAAACTGCTGCCCTGGCTGACAACCCCCACCCCCACCCCCCAAGGTGGCAGTCCCTGTGTTCAAAGCACTGCCCAGAGCCCCTTCCTGTGGCTGCGAGGCCCCACACACACTCTTCTCTCCCCCAGCCTCTTCGACATGGGTGGCGAGTATTACTGCTTCGCTTCGGACATCACCTGCTCCTTTCCCGCCAATGGCAAGTTCACCACGGACCAGAAGGCCATCTATGAGGCGGTGCTGCGCAGCTGCCGTTCGGTCATGGGTGCCATGAAGCCAGGTAAGGGCCTTGCCCTGTTGGCACCCACCCACACTTCCTTCTGTGAGCTGGGCGTAGGAGAGCTGGGTGGTGCCAGCTCCAGGACCCATCCTAGGCCTCCACTAGGGAAGTAGCTGGATGAGAGGCACTCAGCTCCGGGGTCTCCCTCCCCCTGCCTCACCACCCCCACCCCCGCACTGGTCGCTGGCCCAGCCGTGTGGCTCTGCTGAGTCAGACCCCGCTCCTGTCTGACCATGGCCTCTGACTGGCGTGGAGCAGGTGCCAGTCTGATCTGCTGTTCACTGATACTGTGACGGACGGGTAGAAGCCCCTCCTTGAGTGGCTCTGCTTCTTTGGGATGTAGGGGAGCCGTGCCCCCCTCAGCTGCCTGTAGGAGGGAGTTGAGTACCCAGCACCACCCTAATGAGTGGGTGCTCCATCCTGGGCCCTGAGCTCAGCCATTCCCTCTCCTAGCAGCCACCCCAGCAGTCGTGTCTGGCCCTGGCCCACTCCTCCATCCACTCCCACCTCAGAGGCTGCAGCACTCTGTCCCTTGGCTGTATGCCACATCTACTGAGTGCCGGGGACATGGAGAGCCCACCCACCAGAGACAGACATCTGGGCGGCACCTCCTGCTGTCCCTGCCCCTGACCTCCCCTCCTGGGCTCAGGCCAGCTGGAGCCAGCACATGCAGCAGTTACTGGCTCTGGTAGAGGCTCCCTGACCCCTATAGCAGTAGGACCTTCCCAGCACCCTTGTCTCCAGGGAAGGGCCTGCTCAGACTCCTGCTTCCAGCCTTCCAGGCTCTCAGGGGAGGCCCACCTGAGGCCTGGGAAGTTCTCAGCACTGAGCAGCCTCCCCGGTCACGTGAGTCTTGGTGACAGTTGGCCACGAGTTAATGGTCCATTGGTCTGCTGCCTGGCCCCTCTCCTGGAGCCCACTTGGGCTTCCCTACCTCCTACACCATCGTGGCCAGTGACACACCGAGCATCCTAGCTGCCCCGGTGTGCAAACCACGGCAAGGTCCCCAGGCTCGCATGGGTTTAGCCCCTTGGTTGTAAACAACAGAAATGGAGCCTAGCCAGGTGAGGTCACTTCGTCCGGCCACAGGCTAGCAGGGAGGCAGGGAACCAGGGCTGAGGTGGTGCTGAGGGGTACAGGAGCCGAGGGGTAGGGCTGGAGGGTGGGAGTGAACTCGAGGCTGACCAGGACATGGGGCTGCACTCACTTTCTCCATCATACCGGGGGAGCTCTGAACGGGAGGCTGTCTTCCACCAAACTCCCTGGTGACAGACTTCGTGGTGTCCTCTATGAGCCTTCTGGGGAGCGCTGCATGCAGACAGCACAGGGGGCACCGCAGAGCGAGGCCAATCTCAACGTAGCCTCCTGCTGTCCACCGGTGGCCGAGCTTGCTCCTTGTTCAGGAAGAGAGCAGAGGGTGAGGACCAGGCCCCAGAACCTTTGCACGACATGCTCACACACCCAAACACTCACCCTTCCTGAGCCCCAGAGGGAGCTGTCTGCGGCCCCATGTCCTGTTGCTGCGACGCGTCCATCAGCCCTGTGTGGGACCAAGTGAGACTTTTGAGGGTCCCAGGTAGCAGCGTGTCCACAAAGGCAGCTTGGCAGCCCTTCACCGGCTCCTTAAGTGCCCATGGGGAGTGGTGCTGGGCAGGCACTGCATCCACCTCCTTGCCCAGCAGGGACCCAGCTCCCCAAAAGCCCAGCCCACAGGAAGGGCAGGGGGCTCGATGATGCCTGGGGGGGACAGGGAGCCTGACCAGGCAGCAGCACCCAGCAGGTGCTCAAGGTTGCCCAACAAATGAGTGTTGTCTGGTGCTCCCGAGGTGTTCCTTAAGGGCAAACAGTGGCAAAGGGAGCAGGGGGCGCCTTTGCATGTGGATGCGGGAAGCCGCCTTCCAGGCTGCTGTTGAAGACAGAGGAGCAAGTGTGGGGCCGAGTGGCCGCTTGCCTGCTACCGGGCAGCAGTAAGAACTTGGAGCTCCGAGTCCTCTCCTTGAAGGAGGCCCAGGCAGTGAGAAGGGAAGGGGCCCTGGGTCCGAGGGGCAGGGCAGGGGCCCCGCCGACACTGTGTGGCTCCTAAGCCGTGTGAAGGCATCACTTCACAACCACAGTTGCCATGACGTCTGTTCTGCCTCCTGGTGGCTCCAGCTGGGCCCACAGGTTTTCAGAAGTTGCTCACGAGGCTTCTGGAAAGGCAGTACCTCCCCAGAGGCTCTTTGTCCACTTCAGAGCTCACGGCTTCTAGCCCGGGTGACTGCAGGGTGGCCAAGGCCTGGCCCAACTCCACCCGCCCACCCACAGGAATGCCTACTGGTGTCCTGGTACTCAGTGGCCTACCGCCACCCACAGGAATGCCTACTGGTACTCAGTGGCCCAACTAGGGCATTTCCATTCCACGCACAAAGTAGCCAGCCTCACAGGCAAGTCCCTGGCATCCACGTTTCACAGGGAAGGGCTTGGGGCTTGTCATCTGGCACCCCGACGCTGTGGGAGTTCCTGGCACAGGCCTCAGGCCTTGTCAGGCAGCTGGAGACTAGGCTGGGTCCCTTGAACACTTTCCTACTTTTGTTAGATTCGGACCTGGTCAGGGTCTTGTGAGGGTGAGAGTGGAACAGGGCCCTTAGTAGAACCCCTCCACCCCGCAGCCCTACCACATGTACACTGCGGCTTTGGAATGCTGACAGACCCCAAGGTAGGACCTCGTTCTACCACAGTGATATATAGTGCAGGCCTGGAGGGTCAGGGCGGGTCATTGGGGGGGGGGGGGCTGTGAAAAAGCTGTGGCCAGGCTAGCCCCATGCCTGTCCTGGCGGAAATACCCCTGGTTTGTGGGTGCAGTTCCTGGGCCAAGACAAACACCCCACAGAGACTGTGGCCCCGAGGGACCGACCCTGGGGTTGGAGAATGCAGGCCTAGTCCAGCTTGTGGCCAGGGTGAGCTGTCCTCACTGTCCCTGATACAGGAAAGGCAGGGCCAAGGGAATGCTGGGACTGACTCCCAGAGGTCAAGTGAGAGTGCAAGGGCAGTTTGTCACTGCAGCAACGGGGACAGTGCCACCCACACTCTGGTCTGGTCCTGGAGAGGCCACCAAGGAATCTCCAATCTGAAAAGAGGATTCTAGCTGGGGAATCCAAGTCCTCACGGTCTCCGTGACAGGGCAGAGGCGTCTCCCGCACAGACCCCATCTCCCAGGCCCTGGGAGATGCCAACATTGCTCCCACCGCCCTGACAGGGGGCGTGGTGATGGGCTCCCATCTGCCTGAGGCAGGAGATGGAGGTGGCTCCCAACCCCCTGTGGGGGCATGTACTGAGAGCAAGCAGGGGAGGTGCTCCTTCGAGGAGCAGGATGACCAGGCCTGGTAGCCCCTGAGACAGGTGTCCCGTCATGCCAGCTAAGTCCAGTGTGACAGTCTGTGTAGCCTGGCCAGAAACCAAACCCACTTTTGTCCAGTCAGTTCCAACTCATAAGACCTGACCTGGTGTGAGCTTTCTCGTTCATCTTAATGGGAGCACACAGCCTCACCTTACTCCTATGGAGTAGCTGGTGGACTTGAACCACCGACCCTGAGGTTAGCAGCCCAGTGCTTAGCCCGTCATGCCACCAAGGCTCCTTGAAATCTCTGTACTCCCTGACAGTAAGCACCGTCGCTGGCGGTCTCAGCCTTCCCTCCCTCCTAGCACGCTGCCACCCTGACCGGGTCCCACCCTGCCCTCATCCTGCCTCACCTTTCCCCTCCCTGCCCTCTGCACCCGGGCTCTGGCAGCAGAAGGTTCTGCCCAGCCCTGGTGTAGGGTACCCTGGAGGCTCTTAGCCCTGGCAGCCCACAAAGCCAGGTCCTGGAACCATGATCCTGGACTCTCCCGCCCCTCCCCTAAGGGCCATTGTCCAAGCAGATGAAGTGAACTCTTTGTCTGGAAGGGGCCGTGAGGACAGAGCATTCGGAGCCCCCATGCTGTCACCCTCTGGCAGGAGGCCTTGGGCTGTGATAGATGCTCCTGGGCCCAGCACTCAAGGCCTGTCAGGGGAAGGTTCTGGGAGCTTTGGTTGGGTACAGAACACTAGCCTGTGGTCTGGGCCTGGCCCCAGGGGGGTGTTTCTCTGAGGCAGATGGTGGGACGCTATCCCAGAGGTGACTGAGTGTGCCCAAGTACTCAGAGGAATGAGCAGGGAACAAGCCCAAACCCTGGGCCCATGAGGTCATGGTGCAAAAGAGAGCTTCCACAAAGGATACAGGGCATGTGGTCATTGAGCTCACCGCCACAGTGGTCTCGGGGCAATCAGGGAGGACTTCCTGGAGGAAGTGTACCTGCAGAGCCCCTCAGGAAGAATGGAAGCTCATCTCAGGGAAGAAGGCGAACCACAGATGGGCAGCACAGAGAATGGGAGGCAGCAAGCCCAGGGTGGTGAGAGATGAGGCTGCAGCCAAAGAGGCCTTGTCCTACAGGGCCCAGTGGGGACTTCCTGCAGAGGGGACCAGCTGTGGCAGGCCCACATTCTGAAAGATGACCCTGGCGGCTGCCAGAGGGAGCAGGGGGAATGAGAAGCATTGGCAGTGGCCCAAAGGAAGCTGGCCAAAGGTCCAGCCAGGAGGGGCCAGGTTCAAGAACCATTTGTGGGGAGTGAGTGGGGCCAGGATTCAGCAATGAGTGGAGGAACAGGACTAGGGCAGCCAAGCCTGCAGTGTGCGGCCTGAGATGGGCTAGCACCTGGGGTCCCTCAGGTGTGTGTCCACCCTAGCCTCATCCAGCCCCGGACACACTTCACACACTGATACACTGAAGCCCCCACCCCCAGCTGTGTCGTAACCACCACCCAGGCCAAGTGATGAGGCCAAGTTGCTGGAGGTTTAATCACTGTCCCAGCTCTAACCACACACAGGCAGAAACAGCCGCTCACGGCCAAGAGGGCTGTGTGCAAGGCCTTCCCTGAGGGCGCACAGGCGCCGCCTGGCCTGCACCTCTGGGCAGGCACCCGGCCTCCATGAGGGGCCACGAGGACAGGAGAGAGCCAGGCTGCTGCCTCCTAGCATGATTTATCACACACACATACACCCTTCCCTCAATCCCCACCCCCTTCCCTCAATCCTGCACAGTCCTTAGCTCTGTTTCCTGGGCCCCCTTTTTGCCTTAGGAAATACAAGGGGGACCCGGTGGCTGGGGTGAGCCCCCATTGGATGTCCGCCAGGCTAATGACAGGTCGAGGCTGCAGGGCTCTGGGAGGGCTCGAATGTGAGTGTGGGAGCAGAGCTTCGGGAGGTGGGCTGTGCTTTGGACACTACAGGACCAGGCGTGGGGCGCAGCAGAGGCAGGGTTGGGGTACCCTTGGAAACCTCCATTCTGTGGGCAAACAAGTCTCAGGCTTGAAGGGTGCTGTGAAGGAGGGAGGCAGTAGGACAGTGACTGGGGACTGTCTCTCTGAGCAAGTGACCGCTTCATGCCAAGACATCTCCAGACGGCCAAGGGCAGAGTCTCTGGACAGACCTCAGGGTTGCTAGAAGAGGCCTGGCTGCTGGAGGAGGTGGGGTTGGGGCCTGCCCGTGGGGCCTGGTCTCACTGATGAACCCATACCTAGCTTGTCACAGAGCTAGACAGGAGTGGCTCACGGCCCCATTTAAGGGTTGCTGTCCCCGGTGATGTCAGCTTTCTATGCCAACATGGTAGTGACACAGGAGGGACTTACAGGCTCTGGGGAGAAGGCACTTCCCCAGGTCACAGTGCAGCAGAGCTGCAGGACCAAGGAGGCCATCACCCAGGCCTGGCCTCAAGGACGCCATAACCTCTTCCCAAAGACCTCCACCCGGCCCCACTTTAGAGGCGCTATGTGGCCAGGCCTGCTCTGGACACTAGCTGGCAGCAGTCAGAGGCTCGCCAGGCCTGCCCGGGTTCCCCAGTGCCACCATAGGGGGTCAAGGAGAACAAGCTGGAGTCGTGAGCTGAGGCAGGATGACAGTAAGTGGCCCCTGGACTCTTAACAGGAAGGAGGTTCTCTGTGTGGATGAGACTGGGTGGCTTCCCATATTCTGCCTCACCAAGGGGCTGGGCAGGCTACAGCCCCACCTACATGCTCAAAACTTAGATCCTGGGGGGTCCAGGAGGTGAAAACCAGACCTTTGACGGAGGTCCTTCCCTTCTCCCTGCTGTCCACCGAGTGCTTTCTCAAGGGCACCATCACCCGTGCTGACCACCAGCCCTCCATCTGATGCAGAGGTGCAGGGCTCTGGGCCAAGCAAGGCGCCTCCCTGCCGGCTCCCCAGAGCCCCAGAAGCAGTGGTCCTGGGAGAAGTGGGTTGAGGAGGTTGGGCGCCAGCTCTGAACCAGAGCAGGTGGGGTTGGGGTGTGCACCCTGGGGAGCAATGCCATGATATGCCCCACCCCCAGGCCCCATGTCCCCCTGAGGATGGACCAGGAAGCGTTCTTGTTGGAAGTCTTAGCTGGCCCCGGGGTGGGGGTGGACCCCTTGGGATCCCACAGCCCAGTGAGCAGGGCGTGGGAAGCTGGGTGGTGGCCAAGGTTCTTAGATGGTGGCTCCCCACGGCATTCTAGGCAGCAGCCTCTGGGCCTTGGGGCTGGGGTTGGGGGCCACAAGCAAGGCTGGGGCTAGCTGTGTGTGGCCCAGGGACTCCGGGTGAGGAACGTCTCCACTGTGGCCTTTGCCCCAGAAAGATGGGGCAGAGATGACTGATTAGCTGCATGGGAGGCCTTGGAGATAGTCGCCGCCTGGTGCTGTCAGCAGGTGGGGCCACCGACCCCTGCCAGCCAGCCAACCTCAGGGACTGTGCCAGCTGCACCTTCACCCAGGAAACCTTTGCTCTGTACTGCCACCCCAGACATGATTCAATGCATTCCAGGGGGGTGCAGTCTGCCCACTGCCCCGCAGCAGCCAAACCCAGGTCTGGGACTCTTGAGACAGCATGGGGGCCTAAGCCTTTAGCATACTGGTCCCGGGTCCGCTGCCCAGGCATCTCACTGGTCCCCTGGTGCTGACATACGTGCCCTGTGGGACCCAAGGCATGTCTGTGGCCCAAGTGTCCAGGGATGCCTCATCAGCACCCTTGTCCCTCCCGCTGGCTCCCTGATTTGGCCAGGTCGGGGGTGGGTGTCTTCTCCGACTCTGGCCCAGCCTCCACTGCTCACCACAACCTCTCTCTGAGCCACAGGCGTCTGGTGGCCCGACATGCACCGCCTGGCCGATCGTGTGCACCTGGAGGAGCTGGCCCGCATTGGCATACTGAGCGGCAGTGTGGACGCCATGTTGCAGGCCCACCTGGGATCCGTGTTCATGCCCCACGGGCTGGGCCACTTCCTGGGCATTGATGTGCACGACGTGGGAGGCTACCCGGAGGTCAGTGTGCACACCAGGCCTGTCTGCGGCCTCAGCCTACCTGGCCCAGCGCCCTGCAGGGATAGGGCTCCCTGCCTCTCCTCTGCCTGTGCCCACCGGCAATTCTGGCTCCCCTGGGAGGAGGGATCGCTGCTGTACATCTTGAGGATGAGGACAGACGGCACCCCTCATGCCTCCCACAACTGGGTTCCCTTCAGGATAGGTGAGGAGCCCTGGCCCCTGACCATTTGGGAGAGTAGCTGAGCCCAGCCACCCTGTGGCAGGTTCCTCTGTTGCCCCCTCTGGCTACCAGGCCTCTGTGGGACTTTCCCTCTCCGGGGGCTTTGGGGTCCCATGCAGGGCACAGAGGGCGGCTCCCTCTCACTCCTGGTGGTTGGTCCACCAAAGGACCACTCACAGGGCACCAGAGGGCATCAGGAGGCCTGCTGGGCAGGTACTGCAGCCCATGGGCACTCAAGGATGGGATAGCTAGCCTTTCGCTGGCCTGATGCCCATGGTGCAGGGGCCTGGGCAAGAGTGCAATCAGTGCCCCCCTTCCCCCCGAGGCCCCTCCAGCCAGTTCGCCAAGACCAGGCCTGGCCTGCTGGCTGCAGGGTATTTGGAAAGCGTGAGGAGGATTTTTAAAGGGGAGGAGGGGCAGGAGAATTGCTCAAGAGAAACATTATTATTCAATTTTCTTTTTTCCTCAAGTGTAAACAGTTAAATTTGGAGAAACAAACTCAGTTTTCATTTCCTAATTTCTGCCCGCCACGTTGTGTGCCGGGAGCCAGAGCAGGCCCTTCCAGACATTGTTAACGGAGCTCAGTATTCATTAGTTGCCAGAGTGGTTTTGTTTGGAGGGTTTTTTCCAGCCGAGAAAATTGGCAGCCAAGTGTTCTCATCCTTTCCGGTGAGTAGCCCTTTGTGCTCAGTCTATCCTGACAGATAAACGCTGTGGAAAATGAGGCTTTTCCTATAAGAGCCTTTGTTGTTCTTCAGGCCTGCGGACACATCTGGGGCCCCTTTGCTCAGAGACCAGGAACGGTGGGGGCCTCGAGCCCTGCTCTGTCCAGGCAGAGCCAGCAGGGGCACACATGGGCAAGCCCCCACACTCTCGCCCAGGGCTGCAGTTCCCGGGTCAAAGGGCTCCAGGCAAGGCCTGTCCCCTTCATGGTGCCACCACTCACTCTGGCCTTCCCCCACTCTACCTTAGCCACCATGGGACTGGCCTCCCAGACACAGCCAGCCAGGCCCCATGCTCCATGGGCCCCTTGACGCTTGAGAGGGGTAATCAGGAACCTGGGGCAGGTATGTTCTCTGAAGCCCCAGGTACCCCTTCCATGCTCCCCACTGTGCTGAGTTTCAGTGGTGGTCCCTGACATTTCTAGGGGGTCTTTACCTGCCCCCTCCCCCTACACATGCCAGGGAGAGGCGAAGGATGATGAAGTCCTTGCATAGCCGGGCTCCTGGCTTTGACAACCAGGGAATGGAGGGAAGGAGGGGGGGCAGTGTTTGAGGAAGAGGGGCAGGGGCAGAGCCCCAATCCAGTCTCCCAGCTCTAGCTGGCCCAGCCTATCCCCAGAGGCACAGTCAGTCACTGCTGCCCAGCCCTCCGGGCCAGGTTCCACTCCAAGCAGGCGTCTGTGAGCAGGACGGGCAAGGCCACGGGGCCTTGGTGTCCCCTCATTGCCGCTCCCAGGCCTGGCCCTCAGCAGGCTGGGCCTGGTCTTCCAACCCCCTGGTGTACCCATCACCTCATATGAACTGTTAATTGAAGTCTGCTGTCCTGGCCCCCAGTCAGTCAGTCAGAGATGACAGCTCTGCCTCCAGCAGCCTGGCTTCCTGGGGGAGTGGTGCGGTGGGGTGGGGCCTGCCCGCATCTGGGCCAGAAGCCTTGCTTGCAGCCCATGGGCTCAGAGACCCCGGCCACAGGATGGCAGGATGACCCTTGGAAAGGCTGGGATGCCTGCTAGTCCCAGGTCCCAGGGTGGCCCTGTGTGAGTAGATGGGTCAAGCTTCCTGCAGCCCCCTCCCAAATCAGGCTGGGGCTGATTTGGGGGCACAGTTAGAGTGGCCTGCACCCCCCCAGTGAGAAGCATCTGGGAGCAGCCTGGGGCCGAGCAAAGTGTGAGTGCGTGTGCAGGCAAGTCAGTCCCGAAGACACCCCTGCCCCTCTTCCCCAGGACTGCTGGGAACAAGAGCTGTCTGGAGGAGCCGGCAGGCCGGCACTCCCAGGCTGTTTTCCACTTGAGCGGCTCGCTAGGTAGGAACGTTGCAGCGCAGCAGCCTCTGTACAAACTCTTTTGGCTTCGCTGCCTTTGCTTAGCCTGCTCCCCAGCCAGGAGAGGGGGCTTGGGGAAGGGCCCCTGCACCCTGCTGCCCACCCATGGGGACCTCTGGACCTCCTGGAAGCAGCTCTGAAGAGAGCAAGGGGCAGAGACATTTGAGATCTGGGGGACATGCGGGGTGGGAGGGGCTTGGCTGGTGGGTGGGAGCTGACTCACTGAGCCTCCTGGTGCCACCCCTGCAGGGTGTGGAGCGCATCGATGAGCCCGGCTTGAAGAGCCTGCGTACCGCGCGGCACCTGGAGGCAGGCATGGTGCTGACCGTGGAGCCGGGTATCTACTTTATCGACCACCTCCTGGATGAGGCCCTGGCAGACCCCGCACGCGCCTGCTTCTTTAACCGCGATGTCCTACAGCGCTTCCGAGGGTTTGGTGGGGTGAGTCATGCCCAGTGCTCTGGAGCGAGCCCCAGTGGGAGGAGGGGCAGCCTTGACTTCCTCCCTGAGGAATCCCCCTTGCCCCTTCGTGGGAGTTGTCAGGAAGACGGGGATGCCACAGAACCCTGCCACTTCGAGGCCTCTACCACCTGGCCAGGTGCCAGGGCCAGGACAGGGTGGGCAGGTTACAGGAGGAGGCCACCACTGAGGCCAACCCCTTCTGTCACTGGGGGTTCTGGCTACTCCTTGGAAAAGTTTTAAGGTAGGTGGTTCAAAACCACCAACAGTTCTGCAGAAGAAACACGAGGATGTCTGCTCTCCAAAAGGCTTAGAGCCTGGCACACCCTGCGGAGCCGCAGTTCTACCCTGCCCTGTGGGGTGACGGAGCCAGAATCCACTGACGGCAGTGGGTTTGGGTGGACAGAAAGGGCTTTTCACACTCAGCAGCAGGGGCCATGTGGTAGCTGTGAAACCAGACCCTGCAGCACACGAGGCTCAGGGATGATGTCTGTCTGTCTGTGGGTCTGCCGCAGGTCCGCATCGAGGAGGACGTGGTGGTGACCGAGAGCGGGATGGAGCTGCTGACCTGTGTGCCGCGCACGGTGGAGGAAATCGAAGCCTGCATGGCTGGCCACGACAAGGCCTCCAGCCCCAAGTAGAGCTGACCTGGCAGGCCCAAGGACGGGGCCTGCCCTCAAACCTGCTCTCGCAGGCACAAGCGGGGCCCGCCAGGGGCAAGAGATGGTGCTCCGACACTGACACCGGATCATGTCCAAGAGTGCGGTTTGCTGGGAAGGACGAGTCTTTATTATTAATCTTCATCTAGATCACATCCTTAGTCTGTCAGGCACTTTGCTTAAGGGACCATGATTTTTAAAACGTAGGTTGAAAATACCATTCTTTCATTAACAGCCAAACCTGTCCTGCCGCCATGTGTATTCCTTTTCTCAGGAAAAAATGCATTTCTGAATCAATACGTAATAAAACATTTCCTAAAATAACCTGTGGTGGGCAGCTTCCTCTTTCTCGTGTCTTGGGACCCGGGGTTCTGAACGATGGCTCAGCAAGGGCCAGCTTCCCGACGGCACGGGCCCTGGGCCTCAGACTGGCCTGCAGAGCTGTGCTCAGCAGCCGGGCTCCCAGCACCATGTCACAGGCTTCCCTGGTGTAACTGGCACCAGAACCCCAGAGGCCCTTGGCTCCAGCAGGTCCGAGCTGAGTCAAGAGGGCAGAGGCGATGCCCAGGAAGTGTTTCTCACTGGATGCTACTGATGCACTGGCCTGAGAACTGCCCATAGGAAGGTGGCGAGAAAGCTCCGCCACATCAGGGCCATGCAGCCCGAGGACAGACCCTAGTGAGTCAAGGCATTCAGGCCAGGGTGGTGGCTGGCTTAGCCCACACCCAATCTTTTCCTATACTGTAGATATTCAAGTAGAAGCCGAGTTTTTTTCAGCACATTTTTATGCCATTTTTATGGTAAAATTGGGTGCCTCGACTGCTATTCGGGTCAGCTTATACTTGAGTATATGTGGTAGTAGAAGTTAACCAGTGAAGGAAGCCATTTTTTAGATACTGTTACTACCCTCAACGCTAGATTCCAGAAGGGAGGCTGACTTATGAGAGCAAGTCCAAAAAGTATTGCTATGAGGGTCCCAGGTCAGAACTACACATTCCTTCTAAACAAAACACGTGTAAATGTCTCTGCGGTGGATGGCTACAGACAACACCTCTCAAGCAAGTAATACACTTGTCTTCGTCTCCTTAGGGCACCTTCACCCCAAAAAGGTCCAAAGGGATCTGCCTGGGCTAGTTACATTCAAGGCAGAGAGTTAAGCTCACAAGGTCATGGCTGCTGCTTTTTGAGATTCCAAAGGGTCATCTTGATAGGTTTTCTTGAAGGACACTGGAAATTTCAGGGGGCATATTATGAAGAAAATCTTTAAAAATTGCATTGGTGAGAGAAAGACATTGTGCCAGGGGAATTTTCTCCCATCAAGACAATGCATTTGGTCATTCTTTGAGGATGGCAAGAGCTCCCTATGAGAACTTTACTGAGAAACCTTACCCTGTGGCACCCTACAACTCTGATCTTGCCCTTTGAGGCTTTATTGTTCCCCAAACTCAAAGAACACTTCAAAGGAGCCTACCGGTAATCCGAGTACCTCCTGGATTTGAAGAAAACTACCGTTGTGACTTATAAATCACAACGTGCAGAATTCTTTAGGGGAAGGGGACTAGAGAGAAGGAAACACCACCTTTAGAAGTAGACAGGCCTAGACGGAGGATGTGTAAGAAACAATGGTTTCACTTTTGGTGGTCTAATTCCAATGCATTCCACATCTAATGACAATACATCATCTTCTAGAGCCAGTCTCTGAAATCTGGTCAGCTCTTACTTCGTCCAGTTTCCCTGCATTCATTCACTTTCGCTACGCTACATTCAAGAGCAAGTCTCAGTCTCTGCTGACTTCCATCTTGGTCCTTTCTCTTTTCCGCCTAGTGACCTTTGACACTTCTTCAGTTAGTACTTTGCCCCGAGAAGCCTTCAGTATTGCAACCGGAGGCTTGCTTGAGAAATGCTGGTGTCTTGCACATCATCCCACAACTCATCTGATTTCTGGTCAACACAGCAAGTCTATTCTTGATGGTCTCCAGATTCAAGTGGGATATATCCAAGGCCTTCATTTGACTCTCGTGGACATGCTTTAAGCCATCCTTGTTCTGAGGTTCTCCAGCATCTCTTTTCATAGACTGTCAATCTGACTCCTGTGTAGTCCACCTGAGGGCCACATATACAGTTGCTACTTATGTTATTGAAAGGGATATTTGTAATATCACAAAATTCTCCTGTGTAATCTCTCCAGCATTGTTTCTATCACCAAGGCCACATTTTCCAGCTACCAATCATTCTTTGTTTCTAACTTTAGCATCCCAGCCACTGGCAATTATTTTGACTGCATGTTTGATTCATTTCAGACTACAGAAACTGGTTAACATCTTCAGTTTCCTTCAGCATTAGTGACTGGTACATAAATTTGATTAAGAGTCTTCCTCCAAGGCTCGTAGGTGTTATCCTCCCTGGCAGTGCGGTCCTTCAGGGTAGAACTTGAAATGTTCTTGGCAATGAATGCCATACCACTCTTCAAGTTGTCACTCAGCACGAAAGACCATATGCCTGTGTAGAACAACATGGCCACTACCAGCCCTTTCCTGCTCACTGAAGTACTATGGACACATTGTCAGAAGAGACCAGTCGCCGGAGAAGGACATCATGCTTGGTAAAGGGGCAGTGAAGAAAACCCTCATGAGATAGGTTGGCACATGGCTGCAACAATGGGGCCGACTCAATGGCACCTTCTCCGCCACAGCAGCAGTGTGCTATTGCGGTGGCCTGCCTGTTGCTGAGATATTTCAAATACCAGCAGGGTGATCACAGAGCTTCCAGAGGAAGAACTAGGAAGAACCTTGCAATCTACTTCTAAATGATTGGCCAGTGAAGAGTTACTAACAGTTGGAATCAATACAATGGCAATGGATGTGGGGTTTTTAAGTGAAAAGCAGGAGGGGGTAGGGCAGGAGTTGCCCCTAAAAGGCCTTAGAAGAAAAAAGGAACTGCTCCATGTTTCTTAGCTGCAGTTAGTACAAAAGCCATTCACCAGGCCTTTCGGATGCAGTGCCACCCGCTAGGCCCAAGCCACCAACCCTTAGGTTCGGAGTGGCGCACCAACTATTCATGCCACTAGGGATCTTAGACGGGTTAACCAGCCAAACCAAACTCACTGACTGAATCCAACTGCTCCTTTGAGCCTCTGAGACTTTACTGAAGCAAGCAGACTCCTCGTTCTCCTGCAGAGCAGCTGGTGAGTTCAAACTGCTGACCTTGCAGTTATAATCATCTACTACAGCACCAGAGCTCCGTAAGGGTGGGATCCAAAAAACAAAACCAAATCCCAGCTCACTGCCATCAAGTCAATGCCAACTCACAGTGACCCTGTATGACAGGGCAGACCGGCTCCTGTGCGCGTTCCTGAGGTTAGCTGGTGGTTTGTAAATGCTGACTTTGCAGAAAACACCCCCACCACTTAACAACTACACCACCAGGGCTCCTTAGAGGGTGAGATTAGGGCAGGTAAAACAAGCTCTATAAATATATTTGGGGGGGTAGAATTGGAGGGTGGTGATCTGGGTATAATACCTGCCTTGAAGGAAGTGGCACATCGGTGTGTGGGCTGCAAGGGCGCCAAGTAGCTGCTTCATTGATGGCTCTGTTTCCAATCAGCCCTCACTGTCTCTAGAAACCCGTACATCTCTTTCAGGCCTAGGGCTCTGTGAGAAATCGGGATGTTGCAGTAAAAGAACATCTAGGGGTTGTTTGAACCCTTCAAGTACACACAGGTAGTAAAAGAGCAGTTCTAAAATACTTTTATTAAAAAAACAAAAGCTGGCACCTTAACAAAGAAATAATCCCTATATATGTAAACACACCCCACCCCACCCCCGTTACTTGGTTTTAAACTAGAATTCATGAAATAGGGCATTCTACCCACAGAAGGAAATGTTGTATTACGAGTTTCATTAAGATGCAACAAGTAGAAATTAATTTCTCAAGACACAAAAATATTTGAAGCACCACAGAAAAGGATCTAAATGCCATCTTCTGTTCAATGTATGAATTCAACAAATTCACCTCTCCAGATACGCCAAGGCCCTGGGCACACTACACAATTGTATTGCCGGGAGAGGCCTTCCTAGCTTTATCTTCTTGATCGTCTACCTCAAAGCTTAGCTTTTAGTGGAAACGTGGCGACACGGATACAGAGACACTGTAAAAGAGTATCACTGCTGGCTTTCTCTGGGCTAAATTTTGAGATTAGAACAAGTGACTAAACTTCGTCTTCGGAGAAAAAGGGTTTCCTTCCACATTGGGTAAAAATACGTCTGCTGGTTCCCCACCCAGGGCTGGAAATGAGACAACAGAGCCGGCTCTCCAGAGCCGTTTCAACATTCAAGACTGCTGTTTTTGTATCTAAGTGCAAAGAAACCCACAAGGAAATACAGTTCTTATTACCAAAGTTGTTTTTTTATTTCAAATTCATTAAAAAAAATAAAATTATATATTTAAAAATAGAGGAATCTCACAAACTGAGGAAAAAGTTGGGAACAAAAAAGAACAAGTCATGTTTTTCCCCTGAGAGACAAGATCTAATAGCGCAAAAATGGACTCTCTCCTTCCTAGCTTTTGTCAAACAGGAAAGAATTTCTCCTGTTTCTTTTTTTTTTTTCTTAAAAAAAAAAATTTTTCCCCTCCTGTTTCTAAGGCATCAAAAAGCGCCCTGAGTGTTCAATGGCTTGTGCAGGTACAAGCTTCAGGTGCTCTAGTTGGGTTAAGACAACAAAAGTGGCGACAGTGTTTCCTTTTACCCACAAAAAGTACACTGACCATCCTTCACCTTTTTATGTCAATTGGAAAATTCCACTTATGCCCTACATTTCAAAAATCTGGTCATAGTAAAAACCACACTAATTCTTGGTTAAGAATGTCCCAAGTGTTTGCACCCACATCCCCCAAATCTCAAGGCAGAGCTGCTCTGAGCCCCCACTCTTGCAGCCATAACTTGTACGTGGGCCACCAGCAACCCCAGGAGAGTCTCGGACACAGTTCGAAGCTTACACCACAGCCTGCTTCCTAGAACACTGAACCCACCAGCAGACTGGACCCTGGAGGGTCCCAGGTAAATGCACAGCACAAGATGCACACAAGACAACTGTCAATTCTCAAAGCCATCTAAACCTACTTGTCCTGCACACGGCTTCCTCAGTTTTATTTATTTACACTGGTGAGTCTACCAAACTAAAGCCCTTCGTCCCCCCCAGGTCAGGAACAGTCAAGATGCACAGCTCCTGGCTTACGTGGAAGTGTTTATGGCATGGTTGATAGGGTAGCTTGAATAGGTTTTTCCAAGTTCCAACCTTCTGTTCTGACAGACTGTTTCCTAAAAGCTTAAGTTTCGAGACAGTTCAGTTCACAGCACTTGGTAACCGTAAACTCCATGGGGACACCATTTCTGGAAGATGTTTTTTCCCTAGTAAGACAGGAAAACCTAACTTCATTGGTGCTAAAAAGCATCAAGTGACCTAAGTGCCTCTCCAATTAAGCTAATTACTCACCATCAAGGAGCTATTAAACATTCAGCAGAATTTTGTGGTATGTCCTAGTTAGTTCCAATCTTCACAAGTGGATCGATGCCCGACTGACAGTAAACTGGTACTTGGCCCTAAAAGAAATCTCTCTACTGTGTCCTGACTCGAGAATACATCTCCTATGAGACAACACTAGGTGCTGGTGGCTAACATGCCAAAGAGGCTTCCAGTCCTGACCATGGCTTTGCTGCATCACGGGGTGCTGTGACAGCATGCAGCTTCTGGCTGGAAGACTATAACAAGCCTTTTACAAGCCCAAAGGTGCAACTTGAGTTATATTGAATTATGTGTGGTTAGTTCCTTGTATGAACAGGAGTGTGGCCTAAAATCACCATATTCATGAGATGCCTGATAAAAACATTTTAATCAGATGTGATTCGGTCTCTCATTACTAGTCCCAGCATTAAAAAAAAAAAAAGTCAACAAATTTGAGCTAGAATCGTGCTAACAAGAACAAAACAAAACAATTCACAGGACAAACAATGTTACCCGACGCCAGAGAATCCCAACGTGAGTGATGGGCCATTTGTTCATCCCAACAAAAACATCAACATCCTGAGTTTTACCTATTTTCAATCTAAAATAATTTATGGAACATAAAACCACGCAACAATAAACAGAGCAGTGGAACGGAGCCTGGAGGAACAGCTCTCTAACCGGAAAAAGAAAGGTCACAGAAATAAAATAAAAAGATGAAATAAATTAGAGGCTAAAAACCTTACACTTTCAAGTTTTGTTATTTTTCAAACAAGCATTTTGGGAGATGGCATGAAACTGACGCCACATTTTTCTAACAATCCACCTGCTGAATTCCCACTCCACACCCTCATCAGCAGCTTGTGTGACTAAACTATTCAGGTCATTCGTGAACTAACTTGGTTGCCAAAATGGTACCCCCTCACCCACCCCAAATGTTTACTTTGGCACTGCAGGATCTAAAAAACTTGGTATGCAGGCCTCTCTAAATTGCTGTACTTTTCTTTTTTAGGAAGCAAACTCCATACTAATCCAATAACCCAAAGCTGCTACCTTGAGACCCCAGTACTAATGTGCTTCCCTTTCCCCACCCCTTCATTCCTTACTTCCTAAACATTAACTATGTTTAAATTAACTGGCCTTCAAAATGTTACAGGATTTACTTTAGCTAACCTGGAATCACTAGTTAAAAAACATACCTAGCACTTGTTGGGGAAAATACAGTACTGATATGAAAATGGGGTTTCTGACGTATGTAAAATCACTCCAAATTACAAAGTGATTAGTGTCTGTAGCTCTAAGGATTTTTAATACATAGTTTAGAAAAACAAAATCACAAACATATTAACATGGGTGGCAATTCAACCTTCTTCAGCTAATGAACCATATTCATTCAAACCATGGCCTGCAGCTTGCCCATCCCTTTTGTCCACCTAGAGAAGAGGCAATTCTTGGACATCTCAAGATTTATCAAAAACAATAAGGTCCAGGGTAGTCTGGTGTGGGTGTTTGTTTTGTTTCACCGCCCCCCCCACCATACACCACAAAAAAAATTGTTTTGTTCCCCCACAAAAATCCATTTTCATTTACAACCACATATTCAAATGACATAGCTAACATGTTTAGCTAACAGACCCTTGGGAGCTAATCCTAGAACACAGCAGTGTCCGGCCAGTCTGTAGCCACCGCTCTGTGGTCACACCTTTCATTCTACTCCTTCAAGCCACCAGTGGTGAAGTCTGGACACAGGAGGTCTACTGGCCGGTGCTACTGGCATTCATTGGCGGAGTGGGTGGCATGGCTGTGCTGTCAGTGCTGATGGGCTGCACATTGTCGGCAAGGTTATGCGCATGCTCCAGGAATAGGTCTTTCAATACGCTCAATTCCTTAGTCAGCAGTTTAATTTTGGCTTCCAACCGTTCGTTCTCTTCTTTGAGCTGGTTCACTCTCTGTAGAGTATCCTGGGCCTTCTGCTTACTTTTCAGCCGGCTCTTTTTTACTGCCATGTTGTTCCTCTCTCGGCGTTGGCGGTACTCGTCGCTGTTGCGATCCATGGGTGAACTCTTTTTGCTCTGCTTGCTGGGAGCCACCGCTTTGCCGCCTCCTCCAGGGCCAGCGGGCACCAGCTGTGGGACCTGCTGCAAGCCACTGGCATGGGCCTGGGGATGAATGACGCTTATTCCATTCACTCCGGCAGTGCTGTTCGTCTGCAAAATCTTGCTCATTTGGGCACGCTCCTTGGCCAGCACAGGTGAAAACAGGGACAAGGTGACCAGTGGTTTCCAGGTTAAACTGCCAAGGAATCTTCACATGCACCTGGTTTAAAAGACAAATTGCATTAAACTACGTGAAGTGAGGGGATCAAATGAGACTAACGGGCCAGCCCCTGAGTGGCAGGCCAATAGTCACCAACTGTCCTGAGAAAAGGCCAACTCCTGACAGTTTCCAAAGTCTACACCATTTCCCTGGGATGTGAGAGTGAGGATAGGAGCCCCTCCAGCCAAATTTAGCCCACCTGACTCCCTAAGGGCACTGCCCACCTTGGCTGGAGAGGAAAAACACGGGAATACCACTAAGGAACTAGCAGGACTGGACAACCTGCCAGGGAAATGGCTGAGATGTTGGAGTGAAACACAGAAAACTGAATTCAACTCTAGAAATCATAGGGAAAAATAGACTAGTGTCAAAATTAAAAACTGCAAACTCAATGCCATCAATTCTGACTCATAGTGCCCCATTAGGGACAGAGCAGACCTGCCCCTTTCGCTTTCCAAGACTTTGTATCTTTACGAGTGCAAACAGCATCATCTTTCTTCCTCGGAGTGAGTTTGAACCGCTGACCTTGCAGTTAAGTAGCTTTAGTACCAGGCCTCCTCAGGTGGGCCAGTTACAGAGCTCCATCAAGGCTAGGCTGTGCAGGCTGCAGAGTCCCTGTGCCAGCCCACAGGGAGCGAGTCAGGAAGGACTTGCATTTCTCCCCAGAGCATACCAGATATTTTGAAAGTGGGTGTTTCTGTTTTACTTATTTAAGAACGTCAAATGACAGTCATTCACAGAGATTTATGGAGTGCCTTTCTTGGATCATAAATTGGATGCCCTCAAACACCCCCGCTTGCTTGCTCCGACATATATGCAATTCTAACTTTTCTTTCTTCTTGATCTAACCCAGCGGTTCTCAACATGTGGGATGCGACCCCTTTGGGGGGTCGAACCACGCTTTCACAGGGGTTGCCTGATTCATAACAGTAACAAAATTACAGTTAATTAGTAGCAATGAAAATAATGTTATGGTTGGGGGGTACCACAACATGAGGAACTATATGAAAGGGTCGTGGCATTAGGAAGGTTGAGCACCACTGCTCTAACCGATGAGACACCAGCATGAAACCACAAAAACAGAAGGAAAAGCTCTAAAGAGGTAGCCAAGGAAGAAGAAGCAGCCTGAGCTAGGGTGGACAAAAGGATGGGGCAGACACAGCATCTGCGCCCCTGCCCCTTGCTGAGGGAGCTCAAAGGGAAATTAGTTACATGGACCACTATGAAACTAATTTAGTGCCCAAAAGCCCACCTCCTGTTGTCATGAAGCCAGTTCAAAGCATGCCCTCCAGCAAGCACAGCCCACCTGGAAATGTGGGATACAAGGGATCCTAAAGCTTGCCTGCTGTTCCTCCCTTTCCCCCAAACCACAGCGGCCCACTTAGCGCACGGCCATCTATTCCGACTCCAGCCCTGACGCTAGCCCCAGAGCTGCTTTCCAAAACATGACGATGGTTCTCAAGTCCAAATCTATCTTCAATAATGGGCATTTCACAATTCCCCTGGATAATTTATTAGGTTGCCTGATTCCTCTCTCAGTTAAAAAAAAAAAAAAAAAAAAAGACCATTTCTTATAAAGCCACACATTATGGCCGTCATGTAAATGTAAGGAAGACCAAAATCCTCACAACCGGACCAACAGTAACATCATGATAAATGGAGAAAATGTTGAAGTTCTAAGGATTTTGTCTTGCTTGGATCCACAATCAATGCTTATGGAAGCAGCAGTCAATTGCTTCTTGGCCTTTTGGCTGAGAAGAAGTGTAGAAGCAGCAGTCAGGAGCTTCAAACACTGCTTTGCATTAGGTAACTCTGCTGCACAAGACCTCTTTATAGAGTACTGAAAAGCAAGAATGGTACTTTGAGGACTAAGGACGCTTGATCCAAGCCATGGTATTTTCAATCGCCTCATATGCATGTGAAAGTTGCACATTGAAGAAGGAAGACCAAGGAAGAACTGATGCATTTGAATTGTGGTGCTGGCGAAGAATATTGTAAACACCATGGACTGTTAAAAAAAACAAACTGCTATGTCTGGGAAGAAGTACGGTCAGAGTGCTCCTTGGAGGCAAGACTTCCGCTATGTACTTTGAACATATTGTCAGGAGAGACCAGCCCCTGGAGAAAGAATCCTGCCTGGTATAGTGGAGGGGTAGTGAAAAAGAGGAAGGCCCTCAAAGGGTACTGACACGGTGGCTGCAATGAGCTCCGGCACAGGAACAAGTAAGTGTGAGGCTGGCACAGGACTGTGCAGTGTTTCGTTCTGCGAGCAGAGGCTTGCTGTGGGTCAGAATGGACTCAAGGGCACCTAACGATGGGCAACTAACCCTACTGCTTATCTCCTAGTATGAGGTCAATACAAGTGTTTTATTCCATTTTAATAACTTGTTTAACACCTCTTCCGGAGTCATCGAGATAATCACAGTGGTGTTCACTTTTCAAACCCCCATTATAACTTTAAGGTGCTCTGGTGGTGGTGTGGGCTAGGCACTGAGCTGCTAATCTCAAGGTCAGCTGTTCAGGCCCACCAGCCATTCCATGGGAGAAAGGTGAGGCTGTCTACTCCTGTGAAGACAACAGTTTCCGAGAACCTAAAGGGCCAATGTGAGTCGACTCGATCACAGTGGGCTTGGTTTAGGGTGTGAACGAGAACTTTTGTCCATGTGGCCAAACTTAGAAACAGCTAGGATCCAAGAGTACAGCTTGGTACCAGGTCATCCACCTTGGTTTTGGCCCTATTTCATTCTACCTTTCCATGGACCTGTTTCTTCAACTACAAATGAAGGATGTGTAATGGGTAGGATGCCTTCCAGCTTTGACAATACGAGGGACTTCAAAGAGTTCATGGAAGAAAAAAAATCACTATTTTTTTGGAGGGGGGGGGCTGATAGCATTGATGACTGTATAACCCCACCCAATGGGACTGAACTGAATTGTATGTGAATGGATGTATTGGAATATGTAACATATGTCCATAAAAAAAGATATGTCCATAAAAATATTTTTTTAAAAGTTCTGTAAGACAAATAAAGCAATCTTCTGAGTTAAAAAAAAATCACTACTTTTCATTCCCACTTGCCCATGAATTTTTTGATGCTACCCCTCCATAGCCTATGAACCTTGATGACTGAAATTTAATAATCCTAGGCTCCAAACTTGGTGATGCTAGAGTGAGTTTCTGACCCCAGAGCTTCTGGGCCAGGGAAGGGCTGGCCCTGGCCGTTAACCCCCTGCTGGGCACAGCTCACCAAGGTGCTAAGTTGAGCACAGTGGGCAGAGGTCTCAAAAGTAGCCCTTTGGGTGGGAAAAGAAAAATTTTCATTGAACCTACAATTGGCACAAAATTCAATCTTGAAGGTAATAAAAAGGGGCTATGGCAGTTACATAACCTGGTGTCAACTTGAGACTATTAAGAGTGAAGGCAGAGTTTAGCCTGTCAATCAGGTCGCAGCTTGATGACATCATTTGGAGGCACTAAGGAGATAAATAGCTGACTTGAGGCCAGACTCAACTCTCTCTGGTACACCTTCCTGTTGACATGTCGCATGGACCTACACTGATGGAGCCAGAGCCCTGGAGCTAAAGGAGCCACATGGGTCTCCACGCCAGCACTGAGATGCTTCCACTGCCACTGGATCCACAAGACCTTCACCCACTGACCTGTGATCTTACTGCATTTGGCATTATTGCATGTGTTGCATGAGTCTGAAGAGGAATTTATAGACTGGTATCAGAAATATGGGGTAATATCGGACTTAAGGACTTGATCTGGACAGGGATAGGGTGTTTTCTCAATATACGTGTTTTTTTATATAAAGCTCTTTCTTATATACACGAGTGTCTATGAATCTGTTTCTCTAGTCAACCCAGACTAACACAAGGACATATTTTACAGTTTTTACAATTGCTCTTTTTGTTCCTTTCCACAAACATTTGCTGAGCACTTATGAATTAATAATTTTCTTTCATAGAACCTGGATAAATCCAACAAAACCCAACTCATTGCCATGCTAACTGTAATGCTATAGGATGAAGCAGAACTGCCCTGGAGGCCACATTTTCCACCCACAGCGGCTGATAGGTTCCAACTACCGACCCCTGGGATGGCAGCCAAGAGATTAACTGCTGCGCAACTAGGAAGCATGCCTATCTCTACTCCCAGAGGACAAATACTCGGGCTCCAGGAAGCAGGGTGGCGCCCGGTTTCCTACATGTCAATCATTGAGGGGGAAGCCGGAGAAATACTGGAAAGAGTTGCTCCCAAGCGGAGTCCCTGAGCCAGCAGCATTGGGGACCTGTTAGAGCCAAGGGCCAAGCAGTCTCCCTAGAACAGGACTTCCAAGTGATCCTGATGACACTGGGAGGTAAGTGCCAACCACTGCCCATTACTAAGGGCTCTTAAGTGTCTTTTATCCAGATTTCTTCACTTGACCAATGTTCATGCAAGTAAGGAAAACAGGGAAAATGCAAAAGGTAAGGAATTAATTAAATGTTTTCCAAGTTTCATTTAGGCAACTAAAACCTGTCAAGAATTCTCCTAGTGCTTTAGTCCCCACACCCACTTTTTTTTCATGTACCTAGAAGAACCAGCAAGCTATCCTTTTTCCCTCCCCACCAAATAAATTTGTCACTCTTTTTCCTCAGTGAAGGTCAAATCTTTCACTTCCAAAATTAATTTTTTCTATCCAGTTTTCCCAGAAAGGTCTGAAATAGTGACAGATGTTTCTCCCTGGCCCCACACCACTGGATTCAACAAATCTCTTTAAAAAAAAAATCCCATCTCCATTGTTCCTCTCCAATCCCAATGCCACAGAAGTTACCAATGACCTCGGCTGACATCACCTCTCGAGGGCGCTACAGTCTCCCTGGTAGAGCAGCCAGCAGAGTGGTCCTGAGTGTTCAAGCCAAAGCAGGTCACATTTTCCCGCTGACAACTCTTCTGTGTCTCAAACCATGGCCTGATCCCCTCTCCAGTTCCCTCAAACTTCATACCTCAACTACCTGTGCTTGCTTATCATGGCCCCATTTCCTGGTCAAGCCCTGTCCATCTCTTTGTAGAACAAGCTCCAGGCAAGGTTGTGTCATTTTACCTTCACACGCCTAGCAACCAAACCAGACCTAACTAGCAACTAGCTGTCATCTAATCGATTACAATTCACAGCAACCCCGTGTCAAGAGTGGAACTAGTGCTCCATGAGCTTCCATAGGTCAGAGTCCGGGATGGTATGAGAGCTTTGTTTTTCAGAGGGAATTGTAGAGCCCAAAGACTTTCGGAAGTCAATGTCGGGCATTTAATCCAAGGTGCCACCAAATAAGTTCCAACCTCCACCCTTTCAGTTGGTGGTGTTAGGTGCCCTCAAGGCGGCTCCGACTCAGAATGACTCAGCACCACAGAGGGTAACACAGCCTGGTCCTGCACTATTCCCACAATTGCTCCTCTGTTTAAGCCCATGGTTGCAGCTGCAGGGTCAATCCATCTCGTAGGCTCCTCTTCCCCAGCTGTATTTTGAGTGCCTTCCCTAGGGTTGCCATGAGTCAGAATAATCAGAATTGACTTGCCGGCACTGAGTGTGGTTTTTTAGTTTCCCACCTGTGGGGATCATCAGCTGGCACTGTATTAGACAGCATTCTGCAGCCATTCATAAAGTTTTCAGGGGTGAAGTTATCACAAGTGGATAGCCTGGAAACTCCACTGAAACCTGTCCACCATGAGTCACCCTACAGGAACTGGAGGTACCAGTAGCATGGCTTCCAGTACCATACAAGGCACCATATCATAGCAAGACAAACTGATAGAGGACAGGGGCCCAAGCACTGCATTTTAGTGCAGGGCCTGGCATATAGCACCCAGCAGGCATTGCTACAAAGTCAATTCCCACTCACAGCAACAAGTCAGCGCAGGGCTTCTGATGTTCATGCTTGTTGAACACTGACAAAGGCTGAGTGCGCACACTCACTTTTCTGAGTATCTCACCTACAGATGAGTCTCTCTACAGTTCAGATCTCTTAACCACAATTCAACCAACTGTGTTACTAAGCTTCGACAGTAATCTTATTACCTAAATTTCCTGATCTTTCTAAGAAACATACAAGAAGAATGAAAATACAGTCCTGTCAGCTATTTCTTGTCACCAGCCCCTAAGTGTACACTGAACGCCATTCTTTATCCATTCCTTGCTTTGTTTCATTTGAAGACCTCCAGTTCCTGCTTAGCCCTGTTATGTTTGCCGATTAGGATCCTGAAGGCCCTGGCCATGCACCAAGGGTCAGCAACTCTGGACTCTCAACTCAATGTCAAGTCGGTGCTGACTCACAGCGATTCTATCGGACAGGAGAGAACTGCCCTGTGGGTTTCAGAGACTGTCACTCTTTACGGGCGGTGAAAGTTCCGTCCCTCTTCTGAGGAGTGCTGATGGTTTCAAGCTGCTGATCTTGCAAACGCCCGCCCAACACCGCCAGGGCTCCCTAACTCTGGACTAGAAGTGCTAAGTCCAGGGAAGCCTGGGCAGTCAGGAGCCACCCAGTGAGGAGGATTTCTTCTGAGTTGCCTCTGCTTGCTTTGTAATGCAAAGCAGGGGTCTAGGAAGGAGGTAGATGCCATCAGGAAGTACCTAAGTGATCCGTTGGGGTAAGAGAACAAAAAGATGTGTCTTCATTATTCTTTCTTAAGTCATCTTTTCTGAACAGAGGATATGGGTTGGAATTGACTCAAAAGCAAATGAGGGAGATATATCATAAACATCTATCTCTTCAGACCTCATGCTCATTTTCTTCCCTTTCTTTTTTCCTGATATGGATGGGAAGCCAGAAGGTACCTACTAGGCAGTAAAAGAAACCATGGAAACACCCCTCCCAGGACTACACAGTAAATTAGACTTTAAGTTGTGCCTACCTGTATCTACCATTCCTGTGACCAGTGAGGCAATCTCAAACAGTAAGACCAAACCCAGCCCTCAGGGGTCCTATTTGTCTCTGCTAGAGACCTGTGGTGCACTATTTACGTAATACCCCAAGGAGCCCTGGTGGTGAAATGTGTTACACATTTGGTTTGAATACATCAGCCACTCCAAGGGAGATACAGCTGCCTGCTCCCATAAAGACTTACAACCTTAGGAACCCTAGGCAGGTGTTCTATTGTCCTTTGAGATCACTGTGGGCCAGAACTGACTCCAAAGCTGTGGGTTGTTTGCTTTATTAATTGCCCAGAGCTAACACCACCTACCTCTCCAAGGCCAGAGAGCCTTGCTGGCAGTTATGATGTGCTCCCGAGAAAACCTCCAGTCTCAGAAATCCATACAGGGTGGCTAATGACTCAGAGTCCACTCACTGGCTGCAGGTTCCCAGGTTGGGTTTGGTTTCCTGAAAAATGACATCTTTGTCTCCATCCATTTTGGTTGCTAGGCAAGTAGTAGCAACAAAATCTCCAGCTAACCTAGCACCTTGAAATTCCGACTGGTTTCCAGTACAAAAATTTCAGGCCACAGAAAATTACCACCCCCACTCCACTGCTACTGGCTGAGTACATCTTAGCAATTCCAAGAACTTTCAGATGCAAGTCAGTCCACACTGGGTAGTATTTTATTTCAAAAAGATGTGACTTGAGTCACAGAGACCACCTGGGTGGGCAAAGAACAAGTCTACTCAACGAGTCAAGTCCCTAAAAGCTGGAAAGATTGGGAAGAAACTGTTTTTGTGTAATACACTATAAAAACCTTTCTAGAACGGGCACATTAGACTATAAGCCTCAATCAAGAGGAAACCCAAAGACATCTTTTGAAGCCTAGAAACAAACATCCAAGGTCACTGAGAAGAAACTCTCCCCTGGCCGCCAATATTCGGGTTCACCCTCCTGGGTCCCGTTTACCACACATCTCGGACACAGTACAGTGCAGGGCATTCCAAGTGGGGCTCCAGAGCCAACCCAGTAGTAGTTCTCCTCCAGTTGGTCTTCAAAGACCAGCCGGTGCCCCTACCACCGAGCAGAATCCACAGCCCGCCCAGGAGTCTTTCCGAGGGGTTGGAAGTAAGAGACGGCACACCTTCCGCTCCTCTGGAAACACCCAGGGTCCCCAAGGGCCCACCCGAGCCCGGGGGTCCCGACCGCACGCTGCACGACCGCGCCGAGCGCCGGCTCTTGGAGGGGCGCCCCACGG